GTGGGGGCCAGGGAGACGTGGGGCTCAGCAGACACTCTGCCCTGGCCTTTAAAGGGCTTGCAGCCTTCCCAGCGCTCCCCTCAGAGAAGAGGTGGGGCCTGCCTCCGGCCCGCTGTGGTCCTGCTGGCATGTTTGTTAGCATAGAAATGTCAGCCAAGACTACACATGTGTTCCCTTGCTGTGGAAGACAGCGGCGGCTCCTTCCCTTTCCTAACGCCACCCAGCCCTGGGCAGCATAGTGGCAGCTCTGCAGGCTTAAGGCTTGGCTGCCATCACCTGAGACTTGGAGGTGGTGACTGGGGCCAGGACCTTGCAGGGGAGACCTTCATACAGCTTGTCCCCAGAGGCGACCAGAGTACTGACTGTGGGTAGCAATACTCGGGCCTGTTGCCAGGAGTGAGGATTTTCTGGGTCAGAAGTTGTTTAGATCTGCAGGGACAAATGCCCTGAAGAGGCACACTGTGGAATTTTCTTCCTGGCCACGCATCCTCAGCCTATCTGGTGCCCCTCTCAGTGGGACTGTTTTGTGGGTTTTATTTCATTTATACCCCTCCCTGTTCCCAAAAGCATTTAAGTCTACTTTAGAAATACATATACCAAGACAAATTAAGAATAATGAAGCTTGGGGGCAAAGGGATAGGCAAGTGAGATGGAGAGAAGAAAAATTAAAATGCATGCCATAAAGTGGTAGACTGTCAAAGACACTGGGCTTCCTTGCAGCCAGTGCAAAGAGGGAAACAATTTGTTGCGAGTCAGTGTCTACAATACAACCACCAACCGGAAGCTCAGAGGCTGGGCTAATCCAGAATATTTATTCTCAGAGGTCTTGAGAGTAAGGTGGAATATTTCAGATGACATTCTTGGCAAGTTTTCTGTTTTTAGTAGGTTCTCTCTATAGCTTCAGTCTGAAGCTACTTCTGGTCCCATGTGCCATCCACACAGCCTCCTTTGCTCCCAGCCTAGGTATCTGCACTCTGCACTCTGTTTTCTGCCCCTGCCTAGGTATCTGGGTTCCCCTCGACCCATTGCTCTCACTGGGTCAGAAGGTCACTTCTTTTCTGTTCTTTAGCCCATGTGCAAGAATGCAGTGGAGAACAAGCACACAGCCATTTTGGTTTTGGTCCTGAGGTCAATTTATTTACTGATGTTTGAGTTATTTGCTTGATCTCAGTGAATCCAGACTGGTGAGTAGGCTGGGCTAATAGATGCCTGAGGATCTCAGTCGACCTGGGCTGCCTTTTGAACCCCAGAGCTGTCAGTACAGGGAAAGCCTGGACTCGAATTTAGGGGGAACAACATGTGCAGAGGCACAGACTTTCAAGCTGTCAGGCCAGTTTGAAAACCCCAGGCACAGAATGAGGGTCCTCTGAGAAGGGGTGGCATGCTGGTTTGGAAGGGGGCGAGGGGGCAAGGTGGCAAGGCTGCTTCTGCAGTTTCTGCCTGGGTCTGAAGGCTTTGGTCCTGAACAGTCCTATCTCCTTTTCTTCCTGTTAGGCAGGAGGTATCTGAGTCCAGAAGGACTTGGGACGAGAGCTGAGCTGACATCAATCTTCCACTTAGTTGATGGAGTGGCCACTGTGTGCCCAGCCCTGGGTCAGGTGCTCAGGGGGACTGAGGGAGGATCAGCTGTGGTCCTCCAACCTCAGGACGCCCTCTGTGGGGCTGAGGCAATGACTGACAGGAGAACCCAGGCATGCAGCACAAGGCGTGTGGCACAGACTCCATGTGCTGATGGGTCACAGAGTGGGGAGGCCAGGGAAGACTAGAGTATTCAGGGAGGGCTTTTGGAGTTGCCAGTCTTCATGTCCAACAGGTTCCTATGGGTACTGCTGATTTGGCAGAGGAAGAGATCGGAGGACAGTATAAACCCAGAGTAAACAGGCTGCGGGAAGGACACAGAGTAAAAAAAATAATCAAAGGAAGGTTAATGATCTCAGACATGGCCCTACTAGGGCACAGTCTAAGCAGATAACTCCCTAGCCCACAATGGTGGTGCTGCTAGCTGCGATGGAGTAAGCCCCCAACTCATGGCAACCCCATGCACATCGCAGCGAAACGCCGCCCTGTCCTGTGCCATCCCCACGATCAGTTGCAGATCAGACTGTTGTGATCCATGGGGTTTTCACTGGCTGATTTTTGGAAGCAGATCACCAGGCCTTTCTTCTTAGTCTCTTTGGAAGCTCCACTGAAACCTGTTTAGCATCATAGCAACATGCAAGCCTCCACTGACAGGTGGGAGGTGGCAATGCGTAAGGTGCATTGGCCAGGAATCAAACCTGGGTCTCCTGCATGGAAGGAGAATTCTAGCACTGAACCTACCCACAGTCCAATTTTAAGTCTTGGTTAAGGCAAGTGTGCTCTTGTGCTGCCCCCTGCTGTCCGTTGAGCAGGCAGTCCAGCAGCAGGAACCGGTAAAGCTGTCTAAGGTCAGGGTCCAGTTGTCAGTTTCACCTGCTTCACTCTTGGTGCTGTTAGTCCAGTGAGTCCCCTGCTGATGGAGAGAACACACTTGGTGGCTGGACATGCTTTCAGGAGCAGTATCAGGGTGCTCTAGACAGAGCTCTGCTCTCTCTGCAGAACTCACAGTGGCTGGACCAGATGATCTGAGGGCCCCTTAGCGCTGCAATCTGGGATTCTAGGCCAAAAAGTAATGTAGTGAAACCTGTGAGCTGGAATTCAACGGGACTGCCTTATTTTTCCAGGTCTCACAAGTTTTCCGCCTTTGACAGGGTGCAGTCTTGCCAGTTTTCTATTGCTCGTTTTAGTGGAAAATATTTGTGTTTTCCTTCTCTGACAGGTTCTGGCTTTCACAGGTTTTACTGTATATGAAGCATAATATATGTGGATATCTAGATAAGCCAGGTATGAGCAGAAAATATTTCAGATCTCGACTAAGACGGGACCACCTGGCAGACGACATGGAATATGTATAAGCATTTAGCATTTTCCAAACACTGTGCATTCAGTGAGATGAAATAACTCTGGGCTTTTCGTGTGGATTTGTTCAAGGTGGACTAAAACACAAATCTTACTGTCATTTTTTGGAAGGCTACTATCAGATCTCCCTCCCATCAGGCTCTTCTTTCTCTAGGACTTGACCTTGGAAATTAAAAATCTGCATGCGGTTGTCCTTAAGGCTTCCTGGCGTTTTCCATCCTGTCTCTAGAAGAGAGCCTTGAGCTGCACATGCAGGTGTCATCTGGCTGTCAGCACGGCTCACATGTAGAATATGACCAACTGCTTTCCCCCTGAAAATCACTGCCACGGCCCTTTCTAGAGAAGACTCTCCCTGAGTGTTCTCCTGGTGTGGTGTCAAGGGTCTGAGGTGCAGGGCTGACATTTCTCAGGGAAGGCAATGTCTTTCTTCTCCCTACCCCCATACGTAGCTCATCAGTAGACCCGGAAGCCAGCTGTTCCAAGTGCGCAGCTCCTGGTGAGTCTCCAGGTTGCGCTCTCTCCATCACCATACAGATCCCCTCAGAGAGGCCCCAAGGAGTACAGCGGCTTCCTCTCAGACCCGCACCAGCTGTCCTAACAGGCCTGGCTTGTGGTGTTGTGTGCCTAACCTTGTCCTTGCCTGCCCTGCCTTCTTCTTTCTCCACTCATCCCTCCTTGCTGTACTCTGTCTCCTCTGTGTAGATTGTAAATGGACATTAAGTGGTTGAGGGAGATGTGAATGAGGGTGGTGTGAAGGCATGGGAGCCCCACCAGGTCCAAAACCCATTGGCGTTTTCTGACGAGGAAGAGGAAGACCTGCTGGATTTCATGTACAAGTATAAGGCACCTCGAAAGACGGATTTGCCTCTGGAGGTACACGGTGTCTGGGGCTGTGGGCTGGAGCATGTGTTTGCACAAAGGCTTTGCCCTGGAGATCTAGGTGTCCTGGGTTCGAACTCACCCACAGGCGCCTTGGGAGACAGGCCTGGAGTCCTGCTTCCGAAAGGTCCAAACCAAAAGAATCCATCGCCGTCGAGTCGATTCCCACTCATACGCGACCCTACAGTGACCCTATAGGACAGAGCAGAACTGCCCTATAGGGTTTCCAAGGAGTGCCTGGTGGATTTGAACTGCTGACCTTTTGGTTAGCAGCCAAACGCTTTAACCACTACTCCACCAGGTTTAGCCTTGAAAGCTCTATGGAGCAGTTCTACTCTGCACACACGGGGTCACCATGAGTCGCTATCAACTCCACAGCAACTAACAACAGCAAGAAAGGGGACTAGAAATATGCAAGACAAGAATGGCTTCCCGGCAGAAAGAACAGAGGCATGAAAAGACGCAGTGTAGAAGAAAAAGTTCAGTACAGAACGAAGTGGACAGAGATAGGGCTTGAGGGTTGGCCAGTTGTGTGAACCCCCTTTAGTGCTAGGCTAGGAGAAAATATTTCTTTTATTCCATTGTAATAGTAACTTCTCCTGCGATTTGTGTATCCCATGGAGGGATCCGTTGATAATCATTTGCGGGGGGGAGATGAGGTGCAAGCCTGTACACTTAGAGGTGGTGCTTCCTTTTGTCGTGTGGTTTGCCGTGCATTAAAGGATTTCCATCCAGAAAGGGGACTGGAAATCTGGTGATGGAAATTTTCCCCATGTGCCAAGAAACATGTGGCTGGTTCCCAAAGGAAAAAACAAAGACTAGGGGAGAGATGGGGAGGCATTTCTCTCTGCTGAGTCACTTGCTGCCATCCTTTTGCTCCCAAGGCAGAAACTAGAAAGATGTGTCATCCTTCTGCACAGCCATTTGCTTAGGGGATCTAGGGACTTTGGCAAGGGTGAAGCAGCCAAGAGGGAGGCGCCGGCCTCTCAGCTTCAGGCTGACGTTCAGGCTGTGACTGACTCCTGTTGTGAAGACTGAGCGGCCCCCATACCCAGCCAGCTACCTCGTACACACGTGCATTTGGCCGAAGAGCTGGATGCCTCCACACAAACCCACTCAGGTGCTGTCCTCAAGAGTCCACATTTACACCACACTGAGGGACAACTTTCTGTTTTGTCTACCAGGCACCGCCTAGAGCCCTTCGATCTCACTTCAAGAAGAAAAGTACCTCATCCTTGGCACTGAAACCACGTGAGTGAGACAAGCCAACGGCACCGGGATCCACAGAATGTTTCTCCTCTGCCTTAAAGAGCTCTTCACTAGTAACATAGAAATCTGCAAGCTCGGTGTGCTTTGAGTGTGCAGCTCACAGACACGGCCTTTCCTCTCTCCCCTCTCTCACCTTTAGGGTTTTTTTTTTTTCCCTTTACTTTTCCAGGGAGAGGACAAAGGTATAGGTAGTGTGTGGGGGTGACCTTTAAGTCCTCTGAGGTTAGTGTTTCCACATCCATTATAGACGGCGGTGTTTCCAGAAATGTAAGAACCCCCCTCACACTGCTGACATGTACATTTGTAATTTATCTGTTGCATACTTACTTTTTAGTCCTGTATATGCAAACAATTTTTTAAAACTTTTTTGTTTTTGTTGTTCTTGGTACTAATACTTTGGACTATGGATGTACATATTTATGGCTTTGGCTTAATATAATGGACTCGCAAGGGCCAGAGGTTCTGAGATGTAAGGAAACAGCAAAACCAGAAATGTAATTATTTTGATTCTAGAGAATGTCTCAGATGTGCTTATAAAGCTTCTAAATGCAACTCCAGTAAATGTCCCTTTTCCTGCAGGTAGCTGGTCCCAGTTGACTAACAATATACTAGATAAGTTTAGACAATATTTTAGTGACAGAGGTGAGTGTGATACGATGTCAAAGGCACAGCCTAGGGTAAGACAGCAGTCACTAGAAGGAAGTCTCCCCCTTCAATTCAGGATCAGGAGCTTCTGAAACCTTTCCGGGGATTTAACATTGCCTATAGAGTTGCTATGAGTCGGTCTGGTTTTAGTTTTTAGGTAGGTGGCTCGCCCCTGGGATGTGGACTCACAGAGCTGTTGTGAGGCATTAATTCTGAGGGTTTCAAGAGTGGCTGGCCAATGGCTATTTCTCCTCCACGGTAACCAGTGCTGCTACTAAATTCCCTGGGTAGAGGAGTCTACAGTCTGAATACCCTGCTTTAGAGAACAAGGAGCAAAGCAACTAGAAGTACACTCTGTTTCAGATATGCCATAAGATACAGCTGAGACGTGGGTAATGATAAAAATGGTAGCTTCTAGGAAGGCTTCAGAGGTTGAGATCTCTATGGGTGTGCTGCTCTTCAGATCCATGGGCAGCTGTGGCTCATGCTCTTCCGTCCCCCTTCCTGACTTAGACAGAAGGGGAAGGATAGAAAAGTTCATGCTCATGGTGCTCTAGGTCTTAATGGACATTTGATATAAGCCTGGATCACCTAATGAAGGAAGAAAGCATTATCTGAGGGGACTCCTTACTTAGAGAACGTTATCTGTAAAGGAGAAGAATCTGGTTTAATGGCATTTGGCTCTGAGGTAGCTGCTCTCCCCTCTGGGAGCTGAGCCTGGATGTAGGACTAGTGTATCTGTGCTTAGAGTTGTGTTTTCATTAGTGTGATGCATGCGGTGGTCACAACCCAGTTACTCATAATACTTGGATTGTTTGTTCGTATATACGCCCTGAAGACTAGAGAATTAATGTTAATACCACATAGTACTCACTGTCAACTGCCATAAACAGGCCCATTAATTAAAGACTGTTCTGTTACTGAGCTGCGTGAAAGTACATCAGTAGCCTTTGCTGATGACACATTAGCTGGATCTTAGCCACCTCAGGAAGGGTTTTACTTGAAGTTGGTTGCTGGCAGAATGCATACTTAAATCCCTTCTTCCCACAGTTCCTCTGAAGGTGATTTTGTAATTTACTAAAGGATTTAGAAAAATGAATCTGAAAGCAAGTTTGTGGTTGAGAGGGCAATTAGAAGCCATCTGTTCATCCTCTGTGCCCGACACCACCAATAACTAAATCTGCTGGGAAAGACAGAAAATTTGTTTTCGTTGAGCTCACTGAATAGCTTCAGACAGAAGAAAACCTATTCTTTAAAATGTATTTACCTGTTAGTTGGGAGTACCCAGAATCATCAGAAACAAATGCAGAAAAAGCTTAAGTTAAGCAACGTTTTAGCAACTTTTTTTTTTTTCCCAAAATAGTAAATGCCTTTAGCAGCAGAGATTAAAATCCTATTGTGAACAAGCTATATTTTCACCATTTTATGATGGAAAGTTTTAACAAGTACAAGCTGTCAAGTTTGCACTCAATTATGCCAAAAAAAAAAAAGTTTGAAACATTCTTCTCTCAAACATGCTGTATTACTTCTCATTCAAGAATTTAAAAAACTATAAAGTTATCTAAACTGCTGTCTTAATGTAAATGTAACTATTTTGTCTTCAAGTGTTGATTTAGGGAGTTGGTTTCTCTCTTAAAGACACTCACTGTATAACTGAGAGCAGCTGTCATATTTCTAGCAAAATGTGTTTACTTACCCAACAAGCTGTGTATCTGTGTATGGACTGACATAAAATGTGAATGCCTACAAGTGTACATGTCGTGGTGTGGTGTTCTGTCTAGAGGATGTAACAGTGTTTTTAATTTGCAGATTTATAGACACAAGCTGTTTATAAGCTGCTGACTTGAAAGTCTGTAATTTTCATGTGTTAACTTTTAGTTAATGGTCACTGAGCACCTGTTCCGTTTCAGAGGAGGTGAGATGTGGGCCTGTACTTACAAACTGGAGCGTTTAGTCACGATCCCTCCTAGCTTTGTGTGAATAGCTTGTTCGCTTGGCTGGCCTCTGACGTATGTGCGTGTTCTCCTAGTAAACCGTCTCTGTGTTTGTGATGAGTGCTCGTCGTCAGCCACGACCATCATGGAGCTCCTCCCTTGCAGTATTTGAAACGGTAAAGGATGTGCTTCATCATCTGACAGTGCACAAAGAGCTGATCTGCAGGATCATGACTGTGCACATTTCCCCAGCTGATTTCATGTAGTCCCTATAGAACGATCTGTAATAGAATAGTACACTGGACTGTGCATCAGAGGATGTAAAATTACAGTATTCCAAAGGTTGAAGTTCTGCTGTTTTGTTATATAATGCCTGATAATACATCTTGAATAAATAAAGTCTTAACACTTTTTCTTTTAAAAAAAAAATCTTTGTAATGTTGGGCTTATGAGGAAAAAGAAAACACTGAAAAACAGACAAACCTGTGTGGAAGGTAGCAAGATGCTCACCCACTAACTGGTCTTCTGACTTGGCCCCACGCCTACTGCACACGATTGTTGGAAGGGAAGAAAATTATGTGTGTTTTGAAAACCAGTTGATCACACATATATAAAACTGACAGTATCACTGTTTATTTTACGTTTTTAAAAGATCACTGTGGAAACTGGGTAGCTGTGAAAATACCAGAGTAGTTACTCTGGTGTCAGGGTTTTAATTCTGCAAATGAAGCGTCAGTTCATTGCTCTCCTCCTCTGAACCTGTTTCCTCACTGCAGAAGTACTGACCAGTGCGGTCAGAACAGGGCGGGAGATGCGTGTGGAGGCGCCCTGCGGTGGTACGTGCACCTTCTTCACGACTGCGGCAAAGTGGTACAACAAAGCTTTGGTGGTCACACACACTAGGAAACTCCAAATCTGAAACCTCAAATTTGAACACAGGCCCATTTTCTTGGCCTTTACAGTCCTATATTCTGCATGTCTGATAGAACTTTAAAACAAAGCAACAGCAGCAGGTAAAGGAGCAGATTCAGAGGACTGAAAAGGAGGAAGAGATGGAAAGAAAGACTGAAAACCCATTCATTCATTCATTTCCTGAGCCAGGTCCAATGTCAGCAGAACTGAGATTAACCAGGTTAAAACCCCCCCAAAAAAACAAACCCATTACCATCGAGTCAATTCTGAATCATAGCGACCCTACAGGACAGAGTAGAACTGCCCCATAGGTTTCCAAAGAGTGGCTGGTGGATTTGAACTGCCGACCTTTTGGTTAGCAGCCAAATGCTTAATCACTGTGCCACCAGGGCTCTGGGTTAAGAGGTGACAAATCATAGGAAAGCAAAGTGACCAAATGTAAAAGCTGTATCACTACAATGTCATGAGGAGTACTTAGTATTTACAGTGCTAGATTACAGTCACTGACTGATTGACATATGAATGTTCATTTGTTAGAAGACTGAGGGAAAGACATAGGATTCCAAGGAGTTAGACCTGGGTTCTGTGACTTATTAGCTGGACTTCTGGGTAATTTATTTAACACTCTTCAGTTTCCTCAAATCTAAACTAGGGATGAATAACGTATCTCCTTTGCAGGGCTGGTATGAGAACTAGCAGGTAGGTAGATAAGTGCCCAGCTGTAGGCTGGGACATAGTAGGCATTCAGTAAATTATACTTTTACATACACTTGCATATGTGCATTAGGTAGACTTTTTAGTTTACTGCAGGATGTTTCATCATCAAACTACACAATCAGTGTTGATGATAACCCCTGCTACTCACAAAAGTAGTATGTATGAAAATATTCCCTTTTCCCCGAATCACGCCTATCAGCCCTTCCACTTTCAGTCCACCTCTGGATGCTGTGGGCCTGCCTGCTGGTCCTCCTCTCCCCATCTCCTGTCCTGGCCTAGAGGAGAAACCAGGATGCTGTCAGGCCCCCCACAGCAGACCCTGTGGTGCACATTCGCACTAGAAGGTCATGGAGACTGTGGGAAAATGCACCCCTCCTGGCATCTGCAGGCCTCAGCTCCATCTCACCACCGGAGGGAAGAGGGCAGGAGCTGGCAGGTGAGGACACATTGAGAAGTCCTGGAAGCATCTCAGAAGCAGGACGACATGCAAACCCATCCAAACAGCACGTTATTCCACATCTCACGCTTTTACCTCACCTCGAATCAAATGTCTGCTCTTTATTGATTGCTCCATAAACAGACACACACGTGGCCTTCTGGTTTCAGAAGGTCCTGTTGTCATCCCTTAGTTTCCTTTTAATGCACACTCACTGGCTTCCAGGAATCCCCTTGTAATCTGACATGCCACAGAACTTCAATATAGTTTATTTTTTACCTTATTCTACTAACAACAGAGGAACTTCATCTTACCATCAACTACCGTAATTGATGCATGCTTCTGCTTAGCAATGGTTTTCAACCAGGCAAAGGTCTCTGTTGTTTGAAAATGCTTCCCAGATGATTCTGATATGACAGTTGAGAACCACTGCCCTAGTGTATAACCACTCGGTCAGCTGACTTTTACTCAGTGCCTCTTACCTACTCCTCTCTAAGGAAACAATGCTTAATTCTTACATCGTTTCTAACAGGATTGAGGCTACTCTTTTCCCTTTAATTTCTACAATGCATCTTTGGAAAATTTTGGTAAAAGTTTATCCTCACAAGTGAAAATAAGAACTCTCAAGTGGAAAATAAGAAATCAAAAAACAGTATCTTTCAGTGCTTCGGTAGAAAGATTTTTGTCTTCACTTAAATAGTCTTTTCTGATTCATGGATGGGCATGATGAAGGCTATTTTTTTAGTCTTCTCTCTATAAAAACTCCTGTTCTAGTAAACTAAATGTGAACTGTTGCAAACACAATGAACCTAGTACACTAGACATCAAGTGTGCTGCCACCCCCATGCTCATCTAATTTGAAAACGCTCAACTATTTTCTGCTCCACACTAGTAGTTACTAGCACAACTAAGTGGGCCAGGGGTGGGTTCCTGACCTAGGACAACCAATCCCAACACTGGACAGTAACCCCTGGCATGAAAAGGTAAGATGGCCCAGTTACGAGTCTTTTGGCAATTAGAGACTAGAGATAGGAGCTGAAGGTCATGATACAGAAAAGAACCTCAAGACAAGAATTATCTTAGGTGAAGGGAAGGACAGCACACGCTACAGGGGAAGTCAGCACAACTGGACTAAACCAAAGCTAAGAAGTTTCCTGAATACAATCAAATACTTTGAGGGACAGAGTCGCAGGGGTAGGAGTCTGGGGACCATGGTTTCAGGGGACATCTAGGTCAACTGGCATAACAAAGCTTATTAAAAAAATGTTCTGCATCCCACTTTAGTGAGTAGCGTCTGGGGTCTTAAAAACTAACAAGCAGCCATCTAAGATGCATCAACCGGTCCCAGCCCACCAGGAGTAAAGGAGAACGAAGAACACCAAAGACACAAGGGGAAGTATTAGGCCAAGAGACAGAAAGGGCCACATAAACCAGAGACTTCATCAGCCTGAGACCAGAACTAGATGGTACCTGGCTACCACCAGTGACTGCCCTGACAGGGAACACTAGAGTCCCTGATGGAGCAGGAGAAAAGTAGGGTAGAGAACTCAAATTCTAGTAAAAAGACCAGACTTAATGGTTTGATTGAGACTGGAGGGACCCTGGAAGACATGGCCCCCAGACTCCCTGTTAGCCCAAAACTAAAACCATTCCTGAGGACAGCTCTTCAGACAAAGATTAGACTGGTCTATGGGACATAAAATGATACTCGTGAAGAGTATGCTTCTTAGCTCAAGTAGATACACGAGACTAAATGGGCAGCTCCTGTCCAGAGGCGAGATGAGAAGGCAGAGATGGTCAGGAGCTGGTTGAATGGACACGGGATATCCAGGAAGAGTGTGCTGTCACAGTATAGGGAGAGCAACTGAGGTCCCATAACAATGTAGGTATAAATTTCTGTATGAGAGACTAATTTGAATTGTAAACTTTCACTTAATGCACAACAATAAAAAAAAAAGAACCTCAAAGGTATAAGCTAAAGTTATTACGAGGGAGCAGCAACGATGAGTAAGCAAGAATCATGAATTAGAGAGGCTGGTGAGCAGAGAGAATAGAGCCAACAGTGTAAACAGAACTGAGTCACATGAACAGCAGAGCCCAAGCCTAGGAGCCACCACTTCCTGCTGCTAAGGCCCCTGGAGGAGCCTCAGATCCAGGATCACCCTTCAGTTTCTGCTCTTCATGTGGCCCGAGGATTATTTTTGGGTGGAGATGGCGGTGGTAAGATGGTTCCTGAGTTTCCAGGCATGTATCCTTAATCTGTGAGCTAACATGTTGGCTTTACAGTCTTTTTATGCTTGTCCTAACTTATTCCATGCAGCCAAATAAGCCTAATTGAAACAACCAGTTAAGCCATTACCATTTGTTAAAAAAAATGCACAGTTTGAAACTGCTATTTCCCTTACCAAATCTAGGAACGTTTAATCCATTAAGTTTTAATGTTGGTATTATATGTTTACAGATATCAGCTGGTACAATTTACATCAAGTTTTATACTTATTCATCTTTGCAAAGACATATACAAAAGGATACAGCTTCAACAGCTGGGCAATCACAAAGCTTCAGATCTATACTTTCAGGTTTGTGCGATCATGATATATCTGATAAGGATCATTAGCATACCAGTTTCGCCTCTTCCAGAAAGACGTTGTCATTTTATCTAAGAGTTTACTCTGGGTTTTATTGCAGAACACAAATTCCCTCAAGCGTCTCTTCCTTGCAGGTGTCTTTTTCCATAGTTTTTTCTTATAACCAGCCTGTTAGATAATATTAAAAAGTCATTGAAAACATTGTATTATGCAGGAAACAACAGATATCATCACTACTCATGGCTTATTGGTCCAGTGAGAAGAAAGAACAGACTTCCACGGGGGCTGGCACGTTCTTTGGAAAGATGTGATTCTTACTGAGGGCTGGGTGGAGAAAATGTGTAGTTAAATATTTTTGGTGGAAAAAAAGACTGCTTAAATTAAAACCACAGCAAATAAAGCTAAATAAAATCTTTGTGGCTGGTGAAGAGGATTAATAGCTAACTTTAGGTGTTTTTATCTACTCTCTTTAATAGTCTTCATCAACATACTGTTACTATCATTTTATGGATTTAAAAAAAAAAAAAACCCCACCACCACTGGTTAGCAGAGCAAGGTCAGAGAGCTAGCAGGAGTTCTTAACCACTACACTGTCCTGTTTCCTAACATGGGGAGGTGAAGGGAGTACTGGCTGGAGTGGTAACGTTTATGTTTATTTAAGGGGCTGGGTACAGCAGTCCCCCCTAGTCCGCAGTTCCACCATTCTGCGGTTTCAGTTACCTGTAGTCAACTGCAGTCTGAAAATGTTAAATGAGTAGTGTGATGAGAAAGAGAGCAGGTTCATATAACATTTATTACAGTATATTGTTATAACTGTTCTATTTTACTATCAGTTATTGTTGCTAATCTTTTACTGTACCTAATTTATAAATAAAACTTTATCATAGGCATGTAGGTGTAGGACAAAACGTAGTATACGTAGGGTTCAGTACTATCCGCAGTTTCAGGCATCCACCGGGGGTCTCGGAACGTATCCACCGTGGATAAAGGGGGACTACTGTACACAAGGGCTGAGAAACCCAGTTCGTGAATACATTGCTTTGTTTATTCTTTCCACACACTAGGAACTAACTTCTAGAGGAAGTAATTCTCTAAGGAATAATGAATACAATAAAACTATTATTAGGAGTTGTGAGGGAATGGTTAACCCAAATATTTAACCCAGAACTACCACATATACCATCCATGCATTGTTAATTCTGAAGAATTAATTTGTGATGAAACAAAATTACACTAAGTACAAAAACTATAATCACAGCCTGTTTGAACTAGAAGAGACCTTAGGGGGCAGCCCGCTAACTGGCTAAAACCACTCAGTAAGTTACCAGGGGAGGTGAGACCAGGGCCCTCAGCTGGCTTCAGGGGCTCTGCATGGCACTGCACTAACTGAACAGAGAAGCACAGCTCTTCACGGAGACGGGCCTCGGGTTTTTAACATGCCTGAAGTGTGATCACCGTGACCAGTACAGTACAGGGATGCTCAGAAGTAAGGGAAGCTTATTTAAGAGTTCTGGTTTTAAAATGCTAGAGACTGGACGTTTGCTACTCACTGCTTCCAATTTTGAATTCAGAAGCTCAAACTGAAATCCTCATATTCATGTGATAATTTTCTAGTTGGCAGTCCAAACTGGTTCTCTCCATGTGGATCTCTGACTTACAATTTGCTGTCCTACCCATCACCACCAGTATCCTTCTTACTTGGTAGCCACTGTGAAAATGCTTGGAACTTTTTAGATAATCTATCTTTAGGTTCACAAATGGAAAGAGGGACTAAACAATAAAAATTAGGGACAGCTGAGTGAAACTGTGCCACAGAAAATAGTTTGTTTTTATGTATTAGTGTAAATTAACCCACCCAGATATTTTGTTTTCTTTTTAAAATTAGACTTTGATGAAGAAGGCATTCTGCACACAGCATATTTCCTGGAGCCCTGAGTGGGGGCTAGGTGTTATGACTGGAGAGCTGGATCAGGCCTGTTAGAGCAACATGAGGGCTCCAGGACCCAAAAAAGGGGATGTGGAAAGGAAGGCAAGGAAAACTAGCCATTTCATTTCCCCTGGGGCCAGCCCATAACCTGCAAATAGTTACTATGACACAAAGGGAAGAAAGTGTTTCCAGTCATCCAAAATTCACAAGACTCAGAATTATTAGAACTTTATCTCAGCTACTGATGGATTACATCAACTTTTGTTGACTGAGTTGGACTCTACCAAAGTACTGTTTCAATGGAGAAATAAGCTGCGAATTCCAGTCAACCCATTTATCTACAAATTTAGGTTGTTTGTAAGATAGCAGATAATACTTCCAACCTTTCAAACAGTGAGAAAGTTGGACCAATTATTTTCCCCCCAACAGGGAAACAGATTTTGACCTTTAAAGAAACAATTAACTTCCAAATAGTAAAAGAGAATGAGGATTTGAATAATTATTAAAACTCAAAGATGGTTTTGCAGAACTCTGGTTTTAAAGTGCTTTCTTTATCAGATACTCTGTTTCTATGAATTAAAACACGAATGAGCCCACATTCAGGCTCACCACACATTATGGCAAAGCACAGAGCAGTAATTTTTCAGAGTCATCCTTAGAGGCTATGGTCCTGGCCAGAGTAAGAGAGTTTTGTCACAGATGGTTCCCAATTATACACACCTACAGGGCAAAAACTTGTAAAACTGAAAAAAAGAGAAAAAAAAATGTATCTAGGATTAATGTTGTGCTACCCAGAGAATCCAATCCAAGACAGGCCGAAAAGCAGTTCAGTCTCCAAATCTGGGTCATGAACTAAGTACCAGCTGAAGTCTAAGCCACTGCTGTTAACACACCGCTGCTTAAACAGAGGCTCCAAACAGGTCACTGCACTTAAGGGGACTTCAAAGGGCTCCTGGTAATCATTAGATAAGCCAGCCATGTAAAATACCTGAGCTTAATCCTGTCCCACAGTGAAGACTTTTCCATTGTGAATACTATTTTGTTTTATGAATGTGGGTGTTCAGTGGATGCTTACACATGTTTTCTTCACATGGATTCACTTACAGGAAAAGATGCCTCCAAAGCTGGTGCTTAAGCACAGCACTGTAAAACCTACTGGTAAGACAGGGAAGGATATGCCAATGATAAGGCTAACTGAATTCAGCTTCATTTTGATCTCTTGCTACACTACTTTTTCAATCAAGTAATAGCGTGAAGACTCACCTTTCTCCGTAGCCAAAGGCCAGAGTGAAGTCGAAGAAACCTATAGATGACAGCTTTCACAGTCTTTCTCTTTCCTTTTCTTGAACTGAAGTACGTTACAGTTCTGACTGGTAGCTTCAGGATATTAGGAAGCAAGGGGGCTACTCTGAAATGAATTTTAAAAAATTTAACTTAGCAGTGAGACTGATTAAGGGATAAAATCCATTTCTATACTTAGAAATGAGTGAAGCATCACATTGGAATGGAACTGACTTTTAATATGCATTGTTATTTCAAATAATCCATGACACTAGGCACAAGAATTGCAATTATCACCGATTTGCAAGTCTTCCATAATCCACCTCCCTCCATCCCTGAGAGACTTTACCTTACTGTATTGCAATCACCTGATTTCTCATCTATCTGCCCATTAGACTGTAAACTCCTTAAGGACTTTAACTTGCTAATCTTTGTATCCTTTCTGCCAAGTACAGCGCTGGGCACCCAGGTGTGCTAACTCAATATTTACTGACTGACTGGAAACCACACACATCCCAGCCCCGTAAGCTGAGCATCTTGTTCAGCCTCCACTCTGGCTGACAGCTCCCCACCCAGGAAATGGCACATGAGAATATGAGAAGGGTGCTTCCTTTGGCAGTCCCTGCTGCGGGCACGAAGGTATACAGAGGTCAATCACCTTCTCCCCCTCAGTCAGGAAAGTCTGTATAATAAACTACAGGTAGGCAAAGAGTATCATCTACTTCTCAGATGTCTTTGAAGGTGTGAATATGTTACAATTTTTGCCCAAATGTCTTATTTACTGAAATCTATCCTACCTGTTAAGGATTATTGTAGTGTGCCTGCACGTCAGATTTCCGACAGGTGTAGTAAGTCTGGGAGCAGAGGAAACAACTGGCATTTGGATATGACTGAAGCACCGGGTGGACAATGCAGAAATAAGACAGGCCTTCTTGGCATAGGTTTGATAGGCTGAAGATGCCAAAATATTCAGAGGTCGTAAGATTCCTGTAAAGATGGAGAGAAGCATGTATACTTAATATGATACTTCAAAATATACATCCAGATATTTAAAATTAAATCATGCATCAAAGCAACCAAGTGTTACATGTAATTAATGGGTCCTGAGCATCAGACTTTCCTGTGAAACCTCTTACTAACTTTATTGAGGTATAATTTACATACCATAAAATGACCTGTTTTTTGTGTGTAATTCAGTGATTTTTAGTAAATTTAGAGAGTTGTGCCACCATCACCACGATCCAGTCTGATGTGACCTAGCTCTATGTCCAGCATTAGGGAATATATACGTAACATTAACACCCCGCCCGCCCCCCATCTAATATTCTGGTGAGGACTCCTACATAGAGCGAAGTAACAGAAGAGGTGCTTGAGCTCTCTCCTCTAGAAAATGAACAGGCCATGAGAGGAGGAGGAACAGACTGCAGGCAGGATGAAGAACACATAAGCAGAGGCATGGGAGCTGAAACAAACCCATGTATGAAGCAGGAACCGGGCCTGCTACAGAGGCTGGGCACAGTGTGCCTGACCATATCAGAGATGCCTGGGGAGAAGTAGTGGGTGATGGGCGGGGAGGTCAGAAGGCAGATTACGAAGGGCCCAGGCATGTGGACTGAATGCAGCCCCCTTTATCTGTCCTTCCCCTGACTGTCAGGTAACCGTCCATGGCTGCAAACAGACTCACTCCTGGAGCTCTGACTGCACATGCAGATTCTAACTGTGGGACTCAAGAACATGCGTGTTAAAAAAGCTCCGCCAGATGATAGAAGTGTTCAAAACCTAGACTGTGGTGATGGCTGTGCAATTTGCCAAATTTACTAAAAAATCACTGAATTGTACACATAAAATGGGTAATTTTATGCTGTATAAATTATACCTCAATACAGTTGATGAAAAACAAAAAAAAACCACGAGTCTGATGCTCAGCCAGGGCTTAGAACCACTGCCCTGTTGTCCACTGCATCGATTTCACCTAATAAAAAAGGGGCAGTGTGGTGTGAGGATGAAGTGTTGGGGTTTGAGCCAGACAGTCTGGGTTCATATTCTAGCTCTACTACTTACTAGCTGTGTGACCATGAGCAAATTACTTAACCTTACTGTGCTCCAGTTTCCTCAAATGTAAAATGAGGTTAATCATGGCGAGGTGGTGAGAATTAAATGAAATAAAACATGTACGGAAGTGTGCTCAACTCAGAGAAAACATTTACTGAATGTTAACATCAGATAATGAAGAGCTGAGGGATGCTTAGCAAAGATGGTATAATGTTAACAGGTGGCAGAAAGAAGGTAGAACACTTCAACCCTTGTTCTGCTTTTCTCTTCTCCATCAAAGATAACGATTTTTAAACTGAAAACGGTGGCATAAACGTTAATTATTTGAAATCCAAGGTTCAGAAGACAAGTAAGACAGCCCTTAATACTACTACCCCTTGGAAGCCAAAGTCACTACCCAGTGCAGGAATTAAAGTCTAAACTTAAAAAAAAAAAAAAAAAAAAATCCGTTGCTATGGAGTCGATTCCGACTCAGAGCAACCCTACAGTCTGCACTCAAAGAACTGAAAGGACCTGCAGATGTGATTACAAACCAGGAAGTAATCTTTGAAAGACTGAGTGAATTGAAGAAGACTCTGTACAAGAAAATGTCCCAATTTTCAAAGGTCATATAGGATACGAGTTTTCTGTTCTTGATATGTCTCAGTTCTAAAAAACACAAAACCCTGAATGAAGTGAGCAGATAGTGTGTTGAAGACACAGACGGGTAAACTAGAGGCTCCTCTGTAAACGTTGGACTGGATTAATAAACAGGTAAGTGCCCAGAAAAAACAGATTGCCACTAGGAGTTACTACCCATACCTTAAAAAGAATTAACTTCTTTTCATTGTCTGAAAAATCAAGGGAGGATCTTAGATACAATGTATCCTGACTTCAGGAAAGCATCTGATAAAGCTTTCTTTATATTCTAAAGGGCAAAATATAGAAATGTGGGCAGGATGGTAGTTTTAAAAAAAAAAAAAAAACCCATCATAGTGACCCTATAGACAGACAGAACTGCCCCATAGAGTTTTCAAGAAATGGCTGGTGGATTTAACTGCTGATCTTTCGGTTAGCAGCTGAGCTCTTAACCACTGCACCACCAGGGCTCCTTCTTTATATTCTAAAGGACAAAATATACAAATGTGGGCAGGATGGCAGTACAGTTAGGTAAATTCCAAGTTGGTTTTGGAAGCTATCCCCTAATTAGCAGATTGGCGTTCTCCCGGTAAAATTCTCTACCTGGCCCTCTAATTGACTCTTTCTTTGTTCCCAATTTTTATGAAGGCCCTGAAGTCACAAAAGGTATGGCCGTAAAATCAGCATAAAAAAACAAGCTAGAACTATGGCTTATTAACATATTTGTTAAAAGACAAGACTATCAGAACTCTAAGTGACCTCAGTCACCAGAGAAAATGGATCAAAACCAACAAGGTGAAGTCAGGGGCAAACACATTAAGACTAGAAAAAATGGTTACTGAAGCAACAGGAAGGGTGCACTTGGCGTCACAGCAGTTCCTGAGGAAGTGACGTGGGGAGCTTAACACCACTCTCTGGTGGGCCAGCCATGTGATTTAGTCTGTAAAAACCCAACAGTCTAGTTTAGGCTGTGCTAGCAAAAGTGCAGTACACAAATCATTGGAGGCACTTAGCTGTTCCTTCAGCCCTTTGCCCTGACTGGGCATTTTAATACAGACTGGCCAGCTCTAGAAGTCCCTGAGTGGTGCAAACAAGGCTGGCTGCGAACTGAAAGGGTGGATGCTCAGGTCCATCCAGAGATGCCTTGGAAGAACGGCTATTGAAAACCCACAGAGCACAGCTCTACTCTGATGCACGTGGGGTCACCGTAAGTTGGAGTCAACTAGATGGCAACTGTTTTTTTCTATTTTGCCTTCTCTAAACACACTCTTGTATGGAAGACACAGAGATTTCTCATGAAGGAAGTGACACAAAACCACAGTTTTGAAGGAACAGGAGGACGAGGGGACAGAAGTGTAAAGGTGAAGAGACAAAAACAGTACAGTATGTTTGGGGGATTAGACAGCCCTGTGTGACATGAATCAAACGAGAGTGAACACGAGCCACACTGGTAGGAGAGTAAGTGAGACGGTGTGGAAAGCAGGGCTTCGAACCAATTCGAACGCCAGCTGAGAATCTGCATTTCCACCCCAGATATAATGAATCAGAATCTACAGTTTAACATGATCCCCAGGATTCTTATGTATAATGAATTTTGAGAACCACTGCTCTACTAGTGGTTCTCAGAATTGGTCCTTAATGAGCAACATTAGCATCACCTGGGAACTTGTTAAAAATGCAAATTCTCAACAGGGCTTCAAACCGAATGAACTGCTTCGAAGCCCTGGTGGAATGCGATGTTCATCTAGCTTTTTTCACCACATACCCCCTAAAAGAATTTTGAAGAATTATGTCCCCTTTCACAAATTTTTAATATACAAAATGTTAAATAGTTTACATTATTAAAAATATAATTTCCAGTATACTTAAAATACTATTTTAAAATTTGAGGGACAGAGTGGCTGGGGCCTGAGGACCATAGTTTCAGGGGACATCTAGGTCAACTAGCATACCAAAGTTTATTAAGAAAATGTTCTGCATCCCACTTTGGTGAGTAGCGTCTGGGGTCTTAAAAGCTTGCGAGTGGCCACCTAAGATTCATCAGTTGGTCCCCTCCCACTTGGATCAAAGAAGAATGAAGAAAACCAAAGACACAAAGAAAATATTAGCCTGAGACTAAAGAACCACATAAACCAGAGACTCCAGCAGCCTGAGACCTGAAGAACTAGATGGTGCCCAGCTACCACCAGAAAAGTGTGGGGCAGAACTCAAATTCGCATAAAAGACCAGACTTAATGGTCTGACAGAGACCAGAGGAACCCCAAAACTATAGCCCCTGGATGCTCTGTTAACCCAGAACTAAAACCATTCCCAAAGCCCACTCTTCAGACAAAGATTAGACAGGACTACAAAACAAAAAATAATACAAGTGAGGAGTGTGCTTCTTAGTTCAGATACATGAGACCTAATGGGCGGCTCCTGTCTGGAGGCAGGATAAGAAGGCAGGAAGGAAAGGAACTGGTTGAATGAACATAGGGAATCCAGGATGGAAAGGGGGAATGTGCTGTCACATTGTGGGGATTGCAACTAATGTCACAAAACAATATGTGTATAAATTTTTATATGAGAAATTGAGCTGTGAACTTTCATTTAAAGCACAATAAAAAAATAAACTGTCACATCACTCTTTTAAATGTTTTCCACATATCTATTTAAAAAATAGGACAATAAATTCAAGTAGATGAAATAAATAAGAACTTCTTTTCATCAAAAGACACTAAACAGAGTAAAAAGACAAGTCAGAATATATTGGAAACATACATAAATCAGAAAGGACTTCTATCCAGAATATATAACTACTATAAATCAATAAAACAAACCACCCAGTAGAAACATGGACAAAATATTTAACTGATACTTCAAAAAATAAATTCAAATGAACAATACATGTGTGTAAAGGTACTCAGGCTCATTACTAATCAAGGAAATACATATTTAAACCTCAATAAGATACCACTACACACTCAGCAGACTGACACAAATATCTGACAATAACAAGTGTTGGTGAGGAATATACACATATTCTCTGGCCCAGTAATTACACACACACATACACATCCCTTAGAGAAACTCTTGCACTCATGAACCAGGACACAAGGTCAAGCGGCTTTGCACATAACTGCCCCAAACTGGAAACACCCAAATGTCCACCAATAGCAGACTGGAGAAATTGAGGGATAGTCACGTAATAGAATACTATATAGGAATGAAAAAGCACTACAGCTACATGCAGCATGAAACAATCTCACAAAGTGAAAAAGGCCAAACACTAAAAAGTACATACTATATGATTTCATGCATGCAAAGTTCAAAAAGAGGCAAAACTAACCATTATTTAGAGATGCATGCATAGACACTAAAACTATGACAGAAAAAAAGGCAAGCTAATAATTATAAAAATAAGAATAGTATTTATCTTTGCGGAAAGTGGGAATTTTGATTGGGAAGGTACAAAAGGGTGGAGAAAGGGCTTCTGATAGTGTTCCGTGTCTTGACCTTGGTATTAGTTACACAGATATTTGCTTTACAGTTATTTATTAAATGGTCCGTGTATGTTATTGGAACCAACTCAACAACACGTATGTTATATAAATCTTTATATGTATTACCTTTCGCAATTAAAAAAAAAACAGCTCACACAAAAACAAGCTCTCCTCTAAAACTTGCAAAATTTACATCGTTGCTTTTTTCTTCTTGAACTTATTTTTAGTCCACCTCTCGCACAGAATTTTATAATTTAATTTTGTGTGAAAGCCATTTATTAATCATCATATTTGAATGATTTTTAACTTTTTGCAGCAAATCCTTAGAGTGAAGACAACTTAATTTAGCTGCCTTCACTCCTGTCCTCTCTCTCAGTCAAGAAATCCTTATGACTACCCCTGTGCTGGAGACTGCAGTTACAGTGAACAAAACAGGCACAACCCCTACTAGCTATACACGTTCGTGCGAATCTCCTACACACAAAACACACTATGCGCCAGGCACTACGCAAGGCGCTTTACTTGGGCGAGCTCATTTAATTCTCAGCCCAGTGGTACTATCCGCACTTTACAGTGGCAGAATCTGAAGCTCAGAGAAATTAAATAACTTTCTCAAGGTCAAAGGTTGTGAGTGGCGGGTCCTAACTTCCAAATAAAAAAGTTAGCTGAGACTTTTTCTGTCTCTCGCCCCTATTGCTTCAGTCCTTTTGGTTTATTTTTTAAGGAAGGAGGGGTGGAAGCCGCAGGATAACAAGGTCCGAGCGGATCCAAGGTTCTCGGAGACCCCCGTACGGGGTGCCGACCTCACGCCACCTGGAGAATATCCAGAGCAACTCTCTCGGCTCCAATAAAGACCTTTTTCTTGTTAACCTCCAGGCCTAACACCCACTTCATCCCGTATCAATACCATCTTCTAAAAAGGAATAGATCGAGCGCTTACTGACCTGAAGCAGCTCTCACAGCACTAGCAACAGTAAACGCCGCCATCTTGGCGCCCTCACTACGGCGGCCGCGTTGGGTCTAAAAGTACCAGTGCAAAAGGAATAAAGGAAAAAGAAGAGGCGGAGTCAAAAAATGGGAGGGGAAAAAAAAAAAAAAGAATAAAGAAACAGTCAAGTCAACCTTTATTAAACGACTAGTGGCCCCACTCATCTGTCAGTGGAGTCTTACGTGTTGCTATGATGCTGAACAAGTTTCAGTGGAGATTCCCGGCAAGGCAGACTAGGAAGAAACACCTAGTGATCTACTTCTGAAATTAGCCAATGAATTCCCTAGAGATTGCAATGGTCCCATTCTGTTGTGCATGGGGCCCTCCTGAGCCGTGTTGGGCATTGGGTCTCCCTGAGTCTGGCTACTGGAAGGCAGCTAATAACCACTATGTGACAGGCTCTGTTCTTCAGCACTGTAAAACAAGGGCCTAGAAAACAGTGCTTGGCATACAGTAGGCTCTCAACAAATTCTTACTGAGCGTGTAATTGAGCATATTTGAAACAATAATTTCTTTTTGTTCTTTTTATTACATTTATTTGAGAGAATAATACTTATATATCCTTCCCAAACTGGAAGATGTTAGGACAAATGAAGGGGAAAAACAAATAGCAATGTTATTAAGTATCATTTTAGGAAAAAAATGGAATGCCAACCATAATCAAATGACTATAAATATCATAAGGCTATTACATAGTGTCTTAGTCATCTACTGCTGCTATAACAGAAATGCCACAAGTAGGTGGCTTTAACAAATAGAAATTTATTTTCTCACAGTTAGGAGGCTAGAAATTTGAATTCAGGATGTCAGCTCTAGGGGAAGGCTTTCTCTCTCTGTCGGCTCTGGAGGAAGGTCCTTGTCTCTTTGAGCTTCTGCTCCTGGGTGATCTTCATGTGGCTTGGCATCTCTCTTCCTGCATCTGTTTGGTCACTTGCTTGTTTAATCTCTTTTATATCTCGAAAGAGATTGACTTAAAACACACCCTACACTGTCCCGTTAACATAATAAAGAAAACGCATTCCCAAATGGAATTATAAGCATAGGTATAAAACCAAACCAAACCAAACCCACTGTTTTGAGTTGAATTGTCCCTTACGGTTTCCAAGGAGCAGCTGGTGGATTCGAACTGCTGACCTTTTGGTTAGCAGCCGAGCTCTTAAGCCACCAGGGCTTCAACCACCGGTATAGGGGTTAAGATTTACAACACATATTTTGGGGGGACACGATTCAATCCATAACACATACACACTTTTTTTTTTTATCAGTAACACTGATTGTCACTTGGTAGAACAGCATCTCAATTCTCTCTGAACAATTCTGCATTTCTTATTTTATTCCTGAGAATTAATAGTCATATATATACAGTAAAACCTGCAAAAGCAGGAACCTGTGTAAGGTAGAAACCTGTCAGAGAAGGAAAACTCAAATATTTTCCATTAAAATGAATGAAAGAAAAGTGGTAAGACTGCACTCTGTCAAAGGTAGAAAACTTGCAAGACCCGGAAAAAAAAAAGCAGTCCTGTAGAGTTTTGGCTCCCGCAGGTTTCACTGTATACATTTTCTAATGTTCACTCAAATGGGGGAAGAAAAAAAAGACTTCTCCCATCCATGTTGCCCAAGATCTCCTTCCTGTAAAGAATATCTGGAGATATGCCATGCATATACAATATACAATACTAATTACTAGTTGAAAAGGGTAAGTGTCAAACACCTAGTATCAAGGAGTTCACGTTTAATAAGAAGACATGTACAGAACATAAATATAACAAGGCAGATAAACAACTCACAGGAGCAGTTAAGAGTTAAGGAGAGAAGGCTTCTGGTTGGGGTGATCAGGGATGAGGAGGTAGAATATAAGATGGGTCTTAATGAATGGGGAGGATTTTAACAAGGGTGAGGCATTCTAGGTTGTAAGAACAGACCTAAAGTGGGAAGAGAGGGAGCCAAGATACAGAATTTATTTACAGCAGTGGTTCTCAAACTTTTTGGTCTCAGAACCCCTTTACACTCTTAAAAATTAGTGAAGACTCCAAAGAGCTTTTAATTATATAGATTACATCTACTGGTATTTACTGTATTAGAAATTAAATTGAGAAAAAATTAAAATACTTATTGTATTAGTTTCCTATTCCTGCTGTAACAAATAAACACAAACTTATCATCTTACAGTTCTGTAGGTCAGAAGTACAAAATGGGTTTCACTGGGCTAAAATCAAGGTGTTTGAAGGGCTGTGTTCCTTTTTGAGGCTCCAGGGTCACTATGAGTTGGAATCGACTTGATGGCAAGTTTTTTTTTTTTAAGGGGAGATCTATTTCCTTGCCTTTTCCTTGCATTCCTTAGCTCATGGTCTCCTTCCACCTTCAAAGCTGGCAATCACATCACTCTGACATCGCCTTTGATTTTCACCCTCCTGACTACTTCTTTCACTCATAAAGACCCTTGTGATTACCGCACACAAGCGATAATTCAGGATAGTCTCTCATTTCAAGATTCTTAATCATATCTGCAAAGTCCCTTTTGTCTTATTAAGGTAACATATTCACAGGTTCCAGGGATTAGGGCATGGAGATCTTTGTTGTTGTTGTTAGTTGCCATTGAGTCAGCTCTGACTCATGGCGACCTTATGTATAACAGAACAAAACACTGCCCGGTCCTGCACCATCTTCATGATTGTTCGTTTGCTTGGGCTCATCTTCCAGCACTATACTATACAATATTCTGTTGTGATCCATAAAGTTTTCATTGGTTCATTTGTGGAAGTAGATCACCAGGCCTTTCTTCCTAGTTTTAGTCTGGAAGCTCCACTGATACCTGTCCACCGTGGGTGACCCTGCTAGTAGTTGAAATACTGGTGGCATAGCTTCCAGCATCAAAACATGCAAGCCACATCAGTACAACAAACTGATGGACAGGTGGTGGGGACATCTTTGGGGGACCATTCTGCCTAGCACACTTATTTATTTTAAAATAACATTTATAACCTCATTATATGTTAACATGCTTCTATGAAGAATAATTATTTCAAAAGAAAATAATTAGAAGAGTGGTGTGAGGGTTAAGATTGTGTGACAACTTGGCTGGGCCATGATTCTCAGTGGTTTGGCAGTTATGATATAGTTTGGTAGCTATGCAATGATGAAATCACTTCCATGATGAGATCTGCCAGGAGCAAACAACCACTTGAAAGGGAGTCTCCTTCGGGGTGTGGCCCACAGCCAATATATGTGGACTTTCTGGCAAAGCTCTTGCTCACTCTGGATCCTACATCTGGCTTGTCATCGTCTGACCTCCGGTTCTTGAGACTTGAGCTAGCAGCTTACCTGATGATCTTGGGATTGATTTGTCAGCCCCTACAGCTATGTGGGTCAGGGGAAACCTCCAGCCTGACCCATAGACTTGGGACTTTTCAGCCTTGATAACAGTGTGAGCCATTTCCTTGATACAAATCTCTCTCTCTCTATATATATATAGACACGCTTCACTGGTTTTGCTTCTCTAAAGAACCCAGCATAAGACAAGTAGCACTGTTTTACCTTTGGCAAATCTCTTTAATGTCTAGCTTAATAGAAAACTGGTTTCTAAAATTTTATTCTGCATTCAATGTGTTGCAGTATCACATGTCATGTTGTTAGCTGCCATTAAGTTGGCCCTGATTCATGGCAATCTGGTGCACAAATAGAATGAAATGCTGCTGGGTCCTATGCCATCCTCATTATCGACTGAGGACTGCATAATGTTCTGGAGCGATCCATAGGATTTTCACTGGCTGATTTTCAGTAGATTGCCAGGCCTTCCTTCCTAGTCCATCTTAGTCTGGAAGCTCTGCTGAAACTTGCTCAGCATCATAGCAACACACAAGCCTCTAGTGACAGATGGGTAGTCTCTGGAAAAACTCTACTGCACACTAATGAGTTAATGAGAGTTAAAAAGGCAAATAATTTCTTAATATTATTATGAAAACAGGTTTTCTTTATTGTGCTTTAAGTATAAGTTTATAATTCAAGTTAGTCTCTCATACAAAAACTTATACATACATTGTTATGTGACCCTAGTTGCTCTCCCTATACTGTGACAGCACACTCTTCCTTTCCACCCGAATTTCCCGTGTCCATTCAACCAGCTCCTGACCCTCTCTGCCTTCTCATCTTGCCTCTAGACAGGAGCTGCCCATTTAGCCTCATGTATCTGAAAATAGTTTCAATTTTGTGGATTTCCATGAAAAGACCTCAGGCTTCCCAGGGGTCCCTGGCTCCCTCAGGGCTGCTGAGATGGCTATGCTTTAGTTTATCCGCGATATAAGGTGTATGAGCGGGTGATGAGTTTTGAATACTGTTGCTGCCATCTTGATCTCCCACCTATAGTAGCTACTGTGAGTCCAAAGACATTCACATATGCTCGAAAAGTATATTGAGACTGTTATGGATTGAATTGTGTCCCCCCAAAATGTGTGTCAATTTGGCTAGGCTATGATTCCCCGTATTGTGACTGCCCACCATTCTGTCATCTGATGTGACTTCCTATGTGTTGTAAATCCTATTTCTGACGTTAATGAGGTGCAATTAGCACCAGTTATGTTAATGAGGTAGGACTCACTCTACAAGATTAGGTTGTGTCTTAAGTCAATTTCTTTTGAGATATAAAAGAGAGAAGCAAGCAGAGAGACGTGGGGACCTCATACCACCAAGAAACAAGAGCCAGGAGAATAGCGCATCCTTTGGACTTAGGGTCCCTGCACTGAGAAACTCCTCGACCTGAGAAGATTGATGATAAGGACCTTCCCCCAGAGCTGACAGAGAGAGAAAGCCTTCCTCTGGAGCTGGTACCCTGAATTCGGACTCCTAAACTGTTGGAAAATAAATTTCTCTCTGTTAATGCCATTTACTTGTGGTATTTCTGTTACAGCAGCACTGGATGACTATGACGGAGACATTTCATAAAAGCTCACTGGAAGTTTCTGAACAGGGGAGTGATGTGATTTGAATTTCTGAGTTACTGTAGGAGAGTTCTGATAACATTTTAAAACAAAAGAAAACATAAGATCTGGTAAACTGCATGCGAAGGGTGAAGATTAAGGGCCTAGGTGAGAGGTTAGCAAGCTACGTATAGAAATTAACTTTGGGGTTATGAGATATTGATGTCAGAGAGGTTGCTAATGATATTCAGGCCCAAGGTGTTGCTGTGCCATACACAGCTGGAGCAGAATGAAATTGCTCATCGGCACTGAGTTCAAGGCCAAGGTGTCTGAAAAGTTGTCAAGCTGGCATCACCTAGCCTGAAAGCAGTAGGCAGGGATGGGGGTGGGAAGACCGCAATTCAATTGCTAAAGTTACTATGGAAAATGGGAGACTGCTCTGGAAGCCGTTAGGTGACAGAGATACGAAATAAAGCAAGTGTAAGGTAATTACTAAATCGGCCTGAAAAGCATGGAGCATATACAAACATAATTATCGTATTTTAGGTAATTTTCAAATCCATTCCTCCATTTTACAAGTGGGAGTACTAGTGCTATTTCTAGGGGGAATACCCTACTGGGATAAATTACCTCGTTAGACATTGAAAATGCTTTGCAAACACAATAGAAGACATACAAGTTATTTAGTTTCTATGACGTTCTGATGGTAATAAGATCACTAATAGCATTTGAATAACGTTGAATATTTAACATGTCATACCTTGATTACAGACTCTGTGGGATACTTTGGACAACAGTGTTTCTGCACTGACCTCCTTCTCTTCTAACTCAGCCCACAGACTGCGGCCAAAATTATCTTTCTAAAATAAAAACTTCATGAAGAAAACAGTGTGGTTTAGTCTGGAAGTAGAAGCTGTGGCGATTGAAACAAGCCGTGGAGCCCGAAGAATCTGGCCTGCTCTACCACCTGTCACATACCTGAACGACACGTGCAGCACAACGATACCTCCTGTGTTCGTTCACCCTGTCTGCAGCAATCAGGAGGGCTCTCCGAAGAAGGGGTGTCGAAACAAACACGCAAACCGAGACGTCATTGTTTATGTAACTTTGGCCAAATCTATTTTTTCTACGAAATATCTAGCTGACAGAGACGACTGAGTATGCTTTCTTGCTTGAATTCTCCGCAAAGTCAGATCTACCCGTTTTCCGCGTGCAGTAGGACCCGGGTTTCTGACGCCCTCCCTCTCCTCGAGGTTCACCTAATGACCCTGGCTTCGGGCTACACACCAGGAGCCCAAGCAAGACCCGGAAGAAGGCACTCTTTCCACCTCCGTCTCAGGAATCCTCTCCGGCTCCTTAGGCCCTTCTCCAGCCTGGGTACCACAGCGCGCTACTACCCGGACGCGCGCGCTCTCGCGGAGCGTCCTGGGCGGGGGCGTGGAAGGTGGGAGGGAGTGGGAGGGAGTGGGAGGGGCGGGAAGGGGCTGCGCGTGCGCCGTGGCGTTCGCCGCTCTTCCGGCGATCCCGGCGCGGAGCAGCGACCCGGACGCAAACACGCACGCACGCTTTCCCTCCCTTACTCGCGCCGCCGCGGTAGCTCCCGCGTACACCCGTATCGGCGTCCACCCCGCCGCCGAGATGCTGCGGGCCTGTCAGTTATCGGGCGTGACCGCTGCTGCCCAGGTGAGCGCGGGAGTCGGTGCCCCGAGAGACCGCATGAGGAAGCTGACTTGGGGCAGACAGCGGGAAACGGGGGAGGCTTAGGCCCTGCGCAGGCCCCAGGACAAAGGCATATGTCAGGGTCGCCCTCTACGAGAGTTCCGGGCGGACCCGTGAGGCAGTTAGTGGGGGAGTTCGTCGGGCTCGGACGACTGAGGGTTATTACTGAAGTTGGGTGGGGTGCAGAGAAGGTGGCGGGGAGGCGGGCGCAGGACGGAGGTGCGGCTTCGGGGACGTGTCAGCCAGTCAGCACCGCGCTGCCCCAGTCAGGGACCAATCCTGGCTGCTGGCGCCCGGGTCTCCGGTTGGGCACGTGAAAGCAGTGGGGTTTGTGCAGCCAGCGGTTGAAGGTCGAGGTGGGGAGAACTACAGTTCCCGGCAGGACGTTCGTAGTTTTGGCATGTTGCATCTTTAACAAGGAGGTGCCTGGATTGCTGGGAGTACGCGGTTTTGAGGGGGTCAAGGTTGTAATTATCTGGAGGGACTGCTCTTTTCGCAGCAGAGAACACCTCAGAGCTATTCTTACTGTAAGCAAAACTGAAAGATTCTAGTTTATGAGGCTCCTCAAACTCCTGGTACTTGAGAGAGGACAAGAGTCATGACCTTGTGCTCATTTCCGAGATTAGCCTGGGGATCTGTGTCCCCAGGTGCTAGTACAAATTTGGTTGACATTCTAGGAGCCTAGACACCGAATCACTTTTAGTTTCGCATAATTATTAAAGTAGCATTCTAAAATTAAAAAAAGGTAAATCTGCTTCCATTGCTCACAGCTTTAGAAGACTGATATTTTGGCAAAATACTATATTGCAGAACAAGAACTTGTGACTCTAGCATTAATTGAACAAAGTCTCTAGGCATAGTGAATAAGAGATCATAAAAGTAAAACTTCTCTTTTTTTCAAGTTTGCTTCTCTGCCCCATTCATTGCTGGGGGAATGAGAAGTGCCTGATCTGTAGCAAAGTGGGGACTATTAGTTTCTATTATTGCATTAAAACTTAACACAAATTTAGCAACTTAAAACAACACTCGTGTATTATTTTACAGTTTCTGTAGGTTAGAAGTTGAATGAGCTTGTTCTCTGCTCAAGATCATACAGGCTGCAGTCAAGGTGTTGACTGTGCTGTGGTTCTCATTTGGAGCTCAGGGTCCTCTTCCATGCTCATGGCACTTCGTCGGCAGAATTCAGTTGCTTGCAGCTGTTGGAGTGAAGTTCCTTTTTTCTTGTCAACTCGCGCCAGGGACTGCTCTCAGCTCCTAGAGACTGCCTGCAGTTCCTTGCCATGAAGCCCCCACAGGCAGTTCATAGCATGAATGTTTGCTTTCTTCCAGGCCAACAGGTGCTTGTCTTTCTGACTTTGAAATCTCTCTTAACTTTCCCATCCCTGACCTATAGACCCAGATTTAAAGAGCTCATGTCCAGACCCACCTGGATAACCTCCCCTTTGGTTAACTCAAAGTCAACTTTGTTAGTAACCTGAATTACGCCTGCTAAATCCCTTTTGCTGTATAACCCTAATCGTGAATGTGACAGCAGGGGGGTGGAGATCATGGGGGCCCTCTTAGAATTCTGTCTACCACAGGACCCAGGTGAGGCTAGAAGGAGTGGAGGAAGCAGAGCCACCTTTCAGGACAGAACTGTTGAAGTTTATCTTCAGAGCCAGTATGAACCCACCCAGCAGCTCTGCAGAAGAAAGGTCTGGTGATCTGCTTCTGTCAGGATTATAGCCAAGAAGACCCTATGGAACAGTTCTACTCTGTACCACACAGGATCGCCATGAGTCAGAATTGACTAGATGGCAACAGATTTGTTTTTTTGTTGGTTTTTAATGGCACACTCTTCCTCATTCTGCCCTCAGGTTACATCAGAGTTGTCACTGATCTATCTCCTTTTTATCTGCCCTAAACTCCAAAATTACTTTTTCCTTTCCTCACCTTTGTCAAAATACTTTGATACTTACTGGGTTGCCAGTTAGGAAATAAAAGAAAACTAATTACTATTTCATACTAAACTATGAACGCTTTTCTAACTCTCAACCAAAACTACTAACCTTCCTGAGATATTGTCTTGTAAAATTTATTGGTTTATTCTCACTGTCTCCTCAGTCATTCTGTATAACGTTTCATATTTTGCTTTGTGAAACTCTTTGCTCTTTCAGCTTCTCTCACACAGTATCTTGGCTTCCATTGTAACCTTTTTTCTCTCTCCTCTGTTTCCTTTACTGAGGCTGCTTCTTCCTTGTACCTCTAAACATAACCCTATTGCTTTTCTATACTCTTACTTGGAGTTGTGTCAACTCTCAGAACTTTAATCCTTAAGCAAATGACCGTCCAGCCTTCTCTGGAGCTTTGTACTCAAATTTCTGAATTATTGTTTGATTTTGTCAGTTTTGTCCAGAATATTCCCGTTGTCAAAATCCTTCCCATCAAACCCTTCCTTATTGAATGTCTTCCTGTTTTTCCTATTGTCTTCCTAGAGTCAGTTCTTTATATAAATCAAAACTAAACCCGTTGCTAAAGGAGACTGGAGAAACCTCGAGAGTATGGCCCCCAGACACTCTTTTAGCTCAGTGGTGAAGTTACCTCCGAGGTTCACTGTTCAGCCTGGGAGTGGACAGCCCCGTAAAACCAAATGAGACTAACGAGGTACAGGAGTCCAGTGACAAGGGCCAGAAGGCAGAAGGGGACAAGGAAGCTGGTGAGAGGGAACCCAAGGTTGAGTAAGGATATTGTTGATGTGTTGTGAGATTGTTAACCATTGTCATAGGGCAACATTTGTAGTAACTGTTAAATGAGAAACTATTTTGTTCTGTAAGCCTTCATCTTAAGTGAGAATAACAGCACAATTGGAAGAGCGTAGTCAATGTCACTGAACTGTGCATGTAGAAATTTTTGAAATGGTGTATCTTTGGCTATGTGTATTTTCACCAAAAAAAAAAAAGGTTGAGAAGTTAAGAGGGTTAATACGTTGTGGGGTTGTTAACCAATGTCATAAAACAACATGTGTACTACTGTTTCATGAGAAACTTTGTTCTGTAAGCGTTCACCTGAAGTACAATAAAATATTAAAAAAAAAAAAAGAAACAGCAAGAAGGTTAGCATGGCTAGAGAAGGGAGGAGTGAGGGAAAGAGTAGGAAAAAAGGCTGATGAGTGGGATGAAGATAGTATGGGGCCTGGCAGACAATTTTAAAAACCGTGAATGAATGAGTAAGTTGTTCTAACAAAAGGAAGTGGCCAAAAATGAGCCGGATTGGGCATTGGGAAAAGTAACTATGAAATGGACCCAAAGAGTTTGAATCCTACAAGAACATGCTCCAATTCAAATGCAGTGAAAATGTTGGGGTTTGCTTTGGTTTTACTGATCAAATACCTGAGCAGTGGTGATACAAATAAAATACATAAAATGGAAAAAAAAAAAAAAAAACTGGTTGCCATTGAGTCGATGCTGACTCATAGCCACCCTATAGGACAGAGTAGAAGTGCCCGATAGGGTTTCCAAGGAGCAGCTGGTGGATTTGAACTGCCAACCTGGTTAGCAGCTGAGCTCTTAACCACTGTGCCCTCAGGGCTCCAGTTCTTTATATACCAAAACCAAACCCATTGCTGTTGAGTCGATTCTGACTCACAGCGACCTTATAGGACAGAGTAGAGCTGCTCCATAGGGTTTCCAAGGAGCACCAAGAGAATTTGAACTTTTGACCTTTTGGTTAGCAGCGGTAGCTCTTAACCACTACACCACAGGGTTTCCATTCTTTATACAGTGTTATTAAAGCCTTTTTGAAAAGCATATAGATCATATTATGCCCTTTGGTGACATCCCATCACACTCAGAATAAAATCTAAACTCCTTACCATACTCGCAAGTTTCTTCATAATTTGGTTCTGTGCATATTTCATTTTTCTGTTCACTATTCTTCTGGTATCTCTACCACATGCTCACTGCCTTCTCATTTGTTGATTCTTTTGCTGGGAACTCTTCCTGCCCATCTTTGCTTAGCTTGCTCCCTTCAGGTATTTTGTCAGATTTTACTTTTTCCTCAGAGAGGCCTTCCTTACCGTTGTTTTTGACATTGACTTCTCCCCACTCAGCCCTTTTTTGTATTGCTCTGTCCTTACCCTACTTTATGTTACTTTGTGGCTCTTATACTACCTGGCAGCATAATGTGCATTTATTGTGTTTCCTCCACTAAAATAGAAGCTCCGCCAAGGGAATGTGTCCATGTTGTCACTGCAGTGTTTCCAGGACCGAGAATAGTACCGGGCTCCTAGTAGGTGCTCAGTGAATATTTGTAGCCTGCTTGAATGAAAGAATAAACGTGTTCCATGAATTTTTCTTAATCTCTGTAAGTAGATTTGGCCTCCCTTTGAACTCCCATAGATTTGGAACCTTTGTGGTATTTACCTTATCTTCCTGTGTGGACTCATCATCCTTGCACTCCCTACGGAGCCTCAACATGTGGGTATTCAGCAGAAATAAGTTGTCCTCTCTCATGTTCTCTTTCTTGTCCAGAAATGTACTTCAGAGCTCTGCACCTGAGGCTCCTTTTTCAGTTTATTTCCCAGACCTACCACCGTCTGTCTTCTGTTAGATTCAGTACAGCATCACCAGGCCCAACCTTTCTGAGGTGGGCTTTCCTTCAGAACTAGAGACACTGAGTTTGGAGGATGTAGGCTTTCAGTCTAGCCTACATAACCCTCTCCCAAACGACAGTACAGACTTGGGAGTGGTCATCTGTACATGCAGTAGAATTATTGATTATAGCTTAAAAGAAGAGAAAGAAACATGATTATCTGGAGGATCGAGCAAGCCAGCTCATTTAACTAAGACCAGTGTTGATAACAAATCTATTTTAGAACTCAGTTTGTGTGTGGACATTGTTTCTTTGTATTGTTGTGCTTTAAGTGAAAGTTTACAATTCAAGTTAGTCTCTCATACAAAAATGTATACACACTTTGTTATGTGACC